TATATATATATATATATATATATATATATAATTTACTTATTTATTTATATGTTTGTCGTAGTTTTATCCTTCCTTGTTTGAAGGAAAGGTTCAATCATATTGGAATGTATAAAAGGCGAATGGCTTTTTTTAAGGATAAAGCAAAAAACATCAGCTTTTATTTTATAATTTGTTTAAATCAGTTAACGGGTAAGCCACTGTGTGTTACGAGAAGGGATCACTTGTTTCCCGCTTAAAAACATTGAATTCTTATTCTGGAGCCCCACCGATTGCTTTTTTGTTTCGTCCTCGTTAGAGCGATACTATGTAGGAATTTAAATCTGTTGTAATTGTAGAAGAATAGCATAGACTACTCCAACAACTGCCCGACCGATCACAGATACATAACTGATTTTGAATGTAGCGGCGATAATCAAGTGTTAATAACTGAGTCAATGTTGTCGTTCTACTCTGGGCACACAGCATTCAGCTTTTTCGGGGCCTGGTTCACAACGGTTCTTTTATTTAGACTTAAATAATGTTAAAAATTAGGCTCTGTAACTCTCATTACCGATTCTAGGTTAAATAAGGTTACAAGTGAAGTGTTTTTTATTATCATTCTGTAGTTAAACTAGTGGTTTGGCCTAATATTACTGCTGTGTTAAGACTTTTAGTTGTACCTTCAAGCTCGGCTCTATCGTCCTTTATACAGCCGTCTGATTCTTCCTATCATCCAATTCGGACTGTTTGGAGGAGCAGCTTACGTTGGTTTTACTCGAGTTTCAGACTACAAGCACCACTGGTCAGATGTACTGGTTGGCGCCCTCATCGGGTCCGCCATTGGTATAGTTGTGGTATGTTTGGTTTCAATTTCTTTTCATAGTTATCTCTAATTCTTCACATTTCCTTCTTTATTTACAGGTTACAAAAGGAAGTGCCGAGGATTTTATAGTTATCTAATTTTTTTTGACTTTTTAAAGTTATTTAAGCATCTCTCTAGGCTCTTTTTGTTGCCGAAGTTTTCAAACGCCGTGAGATCCCGAAATGTGAGGAACGACTTTGCCATCCGACAATGGGTTGTATGGTAGAGAAGCCGAATATAGACGTTGAGGGAGGCGTTCGCCAAGGAGGAGCCGTTTTGCAACCTGTAACTTCCCAGACTGTTACAGTGACTCATGAGCTTGCGCCAAGCTTACCTGATTACGATGATGCCTCACATCCAAGCCAGCGGTTGTAAGTTAATTCTTCAACAGTTGCAATAGTTTTTAAGGAAAATTTTCAACTTCACTTTTGTTACCAACTAGGTTTATTTAGATCTTTAATATTTCTGGGAAAAAAATTCTTTTTCTGTCACAAGAGCCTATTTTAGTTACTGAGTGGAATGTAAATTTGCTTAATCACTAAAGAATTATAAACTGGCGTTGGCTCTGCTTTAAAACCCTCGCCTATTTTTTTAAACTATATAATTCGGTAAATTTTTTCGCAATCTTATGAAATTTATATTTAATATATTGAGCTTAAATACAATTAATCACTGTTTTCTTTAATGTTGCCTCAGTCAACTTATGAAAAGCTTTTTTGCATGACATGTTCTCGTTGTTTTGGTTTTCTAACATTTTAAAGTTTGCCTTATCATATTTAACTGACTCTGTTGTTTATCTATGAAGCACTCATTCACATTATTAGGCAGTTTTTCATTTATATGCTTTTGTTTTAACGGAAAGGAACCATTAAGTAATCAAAATACCCACGTAGTTGTTACTACTGAAGATTTCCCTGGCTTTGTTCACTTTTTTCATTCTTTTGATCTCTTAACTATCTGACAAAAAGCTTAGTAATGTATTTATCCGCTTATGAGGTCTAATTATGGCATTTATAAAGTCTTAGTGTTGTTAGCTTCTTGATTTAAATCTGAATTGCGTATATGAACGCTTCACTGTTATTATTTGGTGGAGCTACCTGATAAGCCGAGAAGTATCAGGCGTTGTTTCTACGTCGCTTTTCCATATAAATGTTTGTTTCCTAATATTAACTGCTCATACCGTTAAAACTTCACTCTGTTTAACTCATTTGTTGCTGCATTTGACATGAAGACGCTTCTTTTACTTGCCCCTTTTAATCATGGTTGTATTTTAATGCATCTGTTGTGAGTGACTTTGGCTAAAACCACTAAAGTTTTTAAAGCTTTACAGTCACAAGGAAACACCTGTTCTTATCTGCTTACCTGTTTTTACTCAATTATCAATTTGTTCTTACTTTTTTTTTCTTTTTTTTTTTTTTTTTTAGTCTAGTTTTTGCACCTTAAAAATTTTTCCAAAATTGAAATCTTTTTGTAATCTACAAAAAATTTTTAGCATTTCGAAGTCTGAAAATGTCAGCTACAAGACGGAGATCAATCTGGTTTCTTTTCTTGTTCTCTCGATATAGTACCCTAGCATCTAGTATGCGAACTTGTAGTTAGCCTTTGTTTTTATTCAGTTTTGGTATTGTTTGTGTTTAATAGAATTTTATTGTAGTATTAGTATTCATAATGGCAGTTTTTACAGCAATACGAGCAAGTATTAGAAGGTGTTTGTTGAACATTATTCATTGAATTTAATGCTGAGGGTTGGTTTTATTCGTGGTAAATGACAATTTTTTCTTGCAACATTTAGAAATTTGTATTTATTTGAACTTTAAGAAAACGGTAAATTTACTTGAAGATTTAGATTTTCAAAGTTTCTGCCAATAGCAGTTAAGGGGATGCTTTCTTGCTGTTGAAGCGGCCTGCGTTTTGAATTTTTTGCTGTTTTGGCTTGCTCTATTTCTGTTTTCTGTTCTGCGAACACTTTACCCTTTTACCGAATATATCAATCTTGTTTGGTATTATGTTTTGTTGTCTGGCTTTCATCAATCCTTTGTTAAGTTGTCGGTCGCCCAGAAAAGATTGGAAGGATCTAAGTGGTTTTTTTCTTTATTTTTTAACAAGAGCGGTTTTTTTTTCTTTTCTTTTTTGAGCTTTCTGCTATTATCATATCTGTGTATTATCTGGGAAAGTTCCATTTAAGAGGTTTGAGGAATGGCGCATTGTTGCCTTTTGTAGTGTTACATTCTACCTATTGTGGAGTATGGTTTAACATTTTTCTTTTTTTCTGTTTAATTTTTTTTTAAGATTTTTTATTTTTATTGCACTAGAGGTTTCTATTGTAGAGAATTTATCAGCTCTGGAAACGTAGGGTATTGAAAGGGTTGGTTTTGAGTACTTTTGGCTTACTTTGTTCTAATTGCATCGAACGTCTGAAAGAGCGAACTGGTGCGAAAAGAACAGTAACTGTTGCTATAATTTAGAATCTCTTCTGTCGAATGAGGCAGAGATTTAAGTGGGTTTATTGACTTTTGCTTTGTTGAGTTTTAAGATTTCTGCAACACTTCCATATTCTGTGTATGATGTTAAGGGGAAAAAAGGATTTTTTTTGGTTATATTGTTATGTCGATTCAACCAATTGTTGATACCATTGGATTTGCAGCTTTATTTTGTTCTACAGCTTGCGTATTCTTCGTAATTATTGGAGTCTTTTCCTGTCTTTCTGTCCGGATTTTGTTGAATATTTGTTTGAATACTCATTGTCCTGGAGTTTTTGGACCTTTTAAACAACGGTTGTTATTTCGTCCAACTAAGCCTTTAAGTAACTTTTGTTTTTCATTTCTGAATCAGCAGATATTTGGAAGTGTGACCACTAAGTTTTGTTTAATTTTCACCAAAGGCTTTTGCAGCTTGCTGAAATGCTTTTTTCTGCTTACTTTAAGCTTCTTTCGCCCGAAATAATTTGATTTTTCTTTGGTATGGCTAATTTTTTTGTAGTACTGACCTTGTCAGCTGAAGAAATAATGTGACTTACAGCAGGATGGTTAGGTTTTTTAGTCAGTTTAGTAATATAAAATGTTTCTTGATTTATTGTTTAGAAAAAATAACTTTCATTCGTCATGTTAGGCTTCAACAAGGCACATTTAATGAATCCGGGAGGTATGTAATTCGAACAGATCGTGAAAGGCGCCGAAATTAATGATGAGCATTCAACAGTTGATCATATGGAGACCTTGCTGAGATATGAGGAATGAAACAGTTTTCCAGCACTTACAGATGTTGTGTTTTTGGTTGTTTTTACTTTATTGGTATTCGTTGTCAACATCACTTATGCTTTTGAGCAAAATTTCAGTTTCAGCAGGTGTATTCCCTTAATGTCTAAAGCATATTGTACGAAGTCCTTTTTCTTTTCTTTCCGACCGATCTTTCTCTACGATATATTTGATATGTTTTTGCCGTTTTAATATTACTTTGCTTCTTTAGGAATGGAAATACCACAGTTCTTTCAGTTTGCTTTCTTCTTTTTTGTTCTTTTTTTCTAATAATTTTTCATTTCCATTTCTTTTTATAATAACGGTTAGTCTTTATTGATAAAACTTGTTAACACGTGAGTGAAAGAAGTTCTCTATAAAATTTCCTCGGATAAATAATAAAAAATTTATATGGATGTATATCAATACTACAGGATTAAGTAATGATGGTGTGCAAACTTTATAGTTGAATCTGTTTTCTCTTTTTTCTCTGGATATACTGTTATTTTTCTCATCGGGTATTGGCAAACATATATTTTTTGACATCGGCTGTTATTTATTGTAGTTGAGCACTAGAGTGGACGTAAAGCTGTAAATCCAGTATTTGTTGACAATTCGACCTTTGGAAGCATAGTTTGCATTGTATTATTCTTAATTTTCTCGAAGAAACTGCTGTTTTTTAGCCACTTAAACTGGTGAAATAGAAATTGCTAGTGGTAAATCCTCTAATTCAATTTGCATGTGAGGTGCTTATTTTGGTTTGCTTATTGGGGCAATCGACCATCTATGTCGCTGTTCCTTTCGCTTAGTACTTTGTCGTAACTGTCGGTTAGTTGATCGTTAATTTTCCAGTACTTTTCAAGTGTCTGCTCGTCTAAAAATTTCCATCTTTGTACGGCTAAATGTCATTGAGTAAAAGCAAATAGAAATGTTTGTCGTTGATGCCTTTTGATGTATCGTCCAAGGCGAATCGTTTGTCAGAAGTTTGTGGAAAAAGTTTTGTTTATGAAAACTACCCTTTGTTTTATCCATTATCCTTTGGCATTTTGAGGGTAGAGCAGGACAGAATGAAACAGTTAACTTGTTTGCGACGCTACTTTAGGAATTCATTTCTTATCTTTTCGTATTAGATTTTCTTGTTACCAGTTTGTCTTCTAGAAGGAAATGATTGAGGAGGGAAATTGCATATTGTTTTGAAATATTTTTTTAGATTTGCACAGTGTTAACGTTTTCAGTCTTGGTACTTCGCTCCCATCAATGACAGAATCATTTTATACAGCTTATGCCGATCGAGACTCGTTATTGAGGACTACCAATCCTAGTCTTAGTTCAGGCGACTATTTCAGCATTGCTTCTGATCCAATAAGTTTTCCGTCAAGTACTCGACTATAAGCATTAAAAGCAGTCAGTGGAAGCATGAGACCTTAAGCTTGGCTCCTACAAAAAAATCATTTGCATGTCTCTGCAGCACGGTCTGTTCTTGTTATCTTTGAGTGTTATAGTTGTTTCTTATAACTTTCGTAAATGTTCTTAATGGCTTTTTCTTTTTTATGGTACTACGAAGTAATTTTTTAGTGGTAGTTTCTGATTTAAAATTAAGTTTGTCTGCTACCAATTATGAGTAGATGGAATTTTTTAAAAAGGTCAGCATTGCGCAGGAACTTGGTTAAAGTGAACAGTTCAGTTCGGTGAGGTGTTGGACGGTTTTTTTTTTTATTTCAATGTAAGTAACTTTCATGTACTTCAAAGTTTATTGCATGTTATTATTAATTATAACAGAGTATCATGTACTTTTGGGGCTATTTTAATCAGAAACGACGGGACAATTATCTCTTGTGTATACTGTTTTAGAAGAGTATGGAACATTTCTGCAAATCATATTTTTGCCGCAATTTAGGGCGTTTCTCTGGCTAAACTGATCCTCAGTAATGTAATTGGCTTGCATGTCTTGTATTAACAGTCGTAACTTGAAACTTTTGGTTTTTCACTAACTTTTTAATTTGATAATGAACTGCGTTATAGTGTAGACCGTTGCATGTAGCAATTGGAAGAACTGACGTGTGTTTTTTAAATAAGGTACTTTGAATTATTGGAACTTTCACCGACTTGCTTAAGATGGACATGCTTGATTTGGTGTTTTTATGTTGTACAGTTCCTTGTTTATTGTTTTATTCCGTCTTCAGATGTTTAATTTTCGGTATTGTTACTCCTTCAGCAAATTTAGGGTGCTTCTGTGATAAGTTACAGTTCAGTTATGATCTGGTCATTGTTATACTGTTCAGTTTTTTAGACCGTCAAGGTTCATTGAAGCGTAGTACTGTAATTGCCTGTTTCTCTTCATAATTTCTTTTTCTTTTCTTTTTTTCTTAATACAGTCTTAATAGTAATAGTAATAGTAATAATAATAGAAACAATCATGAAAATAAAAGTAATAATATTTATAATAATGATAATATATAAGAATTGAACATATTTTTTTGTGATGGTTCCAAATTGGTTTCTTTTTAAATTTTTTTCAAGATTCTGTTTCAAAAAAGATTTCTTTATAGTGGCCCGCGTTTACATAAGATTCGTCTGGCATTAACGGGTTAATGGTAAGGCGTATGTTGTAAATCAGATCCTGAGGAATTATTTTCAGAATGCAATTATTTACTGGTAATGGTGAAACTAAAGAGCTTGTGTTATTTTTTATATTTGTTTGTTAAGCATTGGTTGAAAATTTGTTTTTTGGCACTCTGATGGACATATAATGCAGATAAATTCTTTTTTTTTTCTCATTTTTAACTTGTGATATAACATAAAATGTTTGTTGTTATCCTCCAGAAACTCTTTCTATTTTGATCATTTGTACAGTTGGAACGCTGTTTAAAAATGGGAAATATCCAAAGTTGTTTAGTTAAATAATTCAGTCTTGCTATAATTTCTTTTCTTTTTTTTTTCACATTTTTGTTTTGCCAATAGTAATAGTAATTCAGTAATAGTAGTAATTGAAAGTTTTAAACGATTAATTACAGGTCAGCGCTGGGAACAACGCGTTATGAAAGGGTCGATCAGCAAAGAACAAATTACTTTTACTCATAAGCACGAGAAAAACAGTGATTGGACCTTTTCTTTTTTGTTTTAAAGTGGCATTTTTTTTGGCTTTCAACTTTTTTTCCTGCACTTTTGTTTCAGTCAATGAGATAACAGTACTAACATCAACTATTACCACTTGGTACTTTCTAATTTACTGTAGTTATTTTACACTTCTGTTTCGTAGACCTACTTTCCTGATGTTTTTTTTTTCTTCTTTCTATTGTTTGCTTTTGAAAAGCCAAGGAGAATTGCTAAACAGCGAATATTGCTTTGCATGCAATTTGAAAAAAAAACTTAATGGAGCGATAACAGACGGATGATGTGGTTCATTCTGCTTAATTGCTTGCAGTAACATCAGATTATTTTATGCTCTAAATTTTGGTGCTAGTTTAGATTTGTGGCAGCATTTTTTCTTCTTTTTTTTGGAAGGCAAATAATTTTTGTTGAAGTTCTATTTTTCAAACTGTAGCTGTTGCAGGTTAGAAACTTTGCAACTTTGTAAGTGACAGAATTTATTTTTTATTTGAAAACAGGGTGTTTGGCACAGGGGATTGAGGACTGTAGAAATGTAAGTCACTGGTTTATTTGATTGACGAATTGGTTATTTACAGTGGACATCTAAAAGGTTAAAAAAAAGAAAACCAAGTGTTATCGTAAATCTTAGCAGTT